GAAGAAGACAACAGGAAGTAGAAGTAGTAGTAGAATCACCGAAGTTGTAAAAGAAAGTAGTAAACTCGCAGACTACAATATCCCAAAAACGCAGCATACATAGCCGCTCCCAAGTATAAGGGGCTTGTCGCTGGAAAGCCTCMATAAGACGCCGACGTCTCCTGATGATGAGCGCTAGTGCCGTGGTAGCAATATGCTWTYTGTTTACATCCATTGCRGCCATGTTTGTAATGACTTATCTCGAGAACAAACATGTTCACTCGTGACTTTAAAAGCATTTCTTACTTAATGGAAACACCACAATTGCAAAACTGTGTTTTTTCATTATTAACAGAATATCGACAAAGTTTTGCGCACATTTGCAATGGAAACGCAGCTACAGACTCTCCGTCTGTTAGCAAAATATCTTCATGAATCACAGGACTAGTTTAATGAGACTCTCAAATTAATCATTTGAGCTACAAATGGTTTAGTTTTATGTTTTACTAATGTTACATTTTTAAACATATAGTTTGATAATTTACTCAACAATATTTTAAAAGTGTGGAAACCTGTTTTGTTTTTCTAGACCCAGAATAACAAGCAGCTTACAYATTTGTTTGTTTTGTCCTCGTGTGTAAAATAAGGGGGTGTATGTTAGGCTTGTGTAACCCACTGAATGAAAACAAGTACATGTTTGTATTACACCCCCCTCCCTCAGATTCTGCCAGCTCATGAAATATGAAAGAGGGCCTGTGTGGGTCCGCTCACGTGTTTGTCTATGTGCGTCCACATCTATCCACACACGGACTCGTCAGCCAGTCTCTCAGATCTTTTACACGAGGACAGACTCCTCCACCCCTGCTGAGACAATTGTGTGAGAGTCAACTGACAGTGAATAATGGGAAGTTAAAGGGCAGGTGAAGCCGAGTTCCACTGGGCTGTTGGTGCACAGTACAAAAATAAAGATACAGAAGAAGTACCTTTTTTTGTCTCCCAGGGTACAACTTGAACTTTTGCACACTTTAAGGTGGAATATTGGACCTCAAGATAACTACTTTTTTAGGGCCCTAAAGGTGTATTTATATTCCTGTGTAGAAAACATACATGCTGCTTATGTACTGAATATTCTAAATATTAAGGTACAGTGTCATGAAGGTGAAAACAAAAAGTCAGAATATTCACTTTAATGTTCTTATTTATTTTGTAATTATTCCTTTTTTTCTCTCTCTCTTACCAAATCTCTATAAAACTAAGTAATTTTGAAACAAAATGTGTAGATGTGTTTTTAATTAGAYAAGCTCTATACATGTGTATGCGTTGGCTCAGTGGTGGGGTTGCTTGTTTTGTAGCAGAATATCAGGTGTTTAAATCTTTTTCAGGAAAGTCTTGAGACAAAATGAGTGAAAGACATGAATGATACCATTCTGACTTAGATGTCGCCTTGATTGTAAGCGGGCTATCGTGGATGTTTGGGAAGCAGGACATTTCTATATAATTGAAACAATTCCTATTGAATCCATTGCATATTTTATTATTTTGTGCTAGTAAACTAAAGTACAGGGCTGTTACCGGACGCTGAAAACTGTGATCAAAAAGGTATAAAGTACACAGATACTAATAAATATCCACACTTTAGTGTTCGGTACAGTGGGATACATTTTTTTCTGGGATTGTAGTTGTCGGTTGGATCTCTGTTGTAATTTTCAAATTGGCTGTACTGTTAATATTTACTTTATTATTTACCGTATTTATTCAAGTATAATACATAAAARAAATCCATAAAATCATACATAAAGTTGGGGGGTAGTATTATACTTGGATAAATATTTTTACTTATGTATTTTAATCGGCTTCGTTCACATAATGCCTGAGTCCGGAAATGAGACTGTTTCGTAAAAAGCAATTGAAGCAAGCTTACCTGTGACACTCCTCCATGCTTCAGAGCGAGATAGTAACAGATCCAGGCAGGGGACATGATGTGAAAAAAAGTGGGGGGAAAGCAGTCCTGCACCTTAGTAATGATAACGAACTAATGACATTAGTGTGTAACCGGGCCGCTCCTCGAACAACAACAAACACTTGTTCTTCTGTAATGGCTGCCGTCTACCGGTGTTCTGAAAAAGTTTGCATCCCTGAAAAAAGTTTCCCCACCAGAGGGGGGCGCTCGCAGGTAGGACGTAATCTGCTTCTGCCCCAGAAGATGGTCCAAATCTCATGTGAAGTCTGACTTTTGTGTTGGCGCGTCCTGGTGGACTATGTGTAAAATGCCAGAGTTCATATGATGCTCAAAATCATAGTTTGCTGATATATATATGTTGTCAAAATACCTTTTAGTACATATGTTGTTAAAATAAAATGAACATTTTACTGCAAGGACTGAAAAATCTTGAAGTCTGTATGAAATTGGAGGTAGTTTGAGGATTCAATTTTTTATGCTTTTTAAGCTCAAAAAAAGGGGGGGGGGTCGTATGATACATGAGACTGTATTGTACCCAAATAAATACGGTAGTATTTGTTAGAGGCGAAATATGCAAAATCCACATTTTAACCGTTAAATACATTTTGTTGTGTAGGAGTGCAGAAAAGTTGAATTTAGTCTCTTCCGGTGCTGCATAGATATCTTTATATTCTGTTTGTGTCATATTGTCTTTCTGTTTCTCTTTTCCCCCTCTGTTCATTAGAAAACAACATTTGTGGAGCGGCCTGAGTCAGAGCAGAGCACATGAGGAGCAGAAACAGGCCGTCATCAACATCCTGACGAGTAACCTTTCTTGTGCACCCCACCACGCGCCCGCCAACTCCAGAAGTGGGCGTCAAGCAGGAAGGAAACAAGTGACCCCCTTCCTCCTGCAGGCATGGTAATACATTCAGTGTTCTCTCACAGGTGCTGGAGGTTTGTGTGTGGGTGTGCTGCAGTGGATTATCCCCTGTGGAAAAATGACTCCTCAAGACTAGAGGGCCGAGAAGTTCAATCTGATAAGTTGTTATACTCATGACAGCAGATAGTGTGCATCTTGGACTGAGAAACAGATGTGTGATAAGAGCTTGTTCAGGGTTGAAAGGGAATGAAAACCTATACATCAAAGGAAAACAGTAGTAGGTTGAAGAGAGGAAAATAGAAAAGATAGGACCTTGGGGAAAAATAACTGTGATGGTAAAAAGGAGAGTGTTGATTATCTGAAAGATGGTTTAGTTACATCTGACTTATCAGGCCAGTTTGTTCTTGTGATTTCATAGATTTCTTCTCTGATAATTTTACTTTAATACTGACAAAGTACTATGTACAAAGTAAGTGTTGACAAAGTGTGTGCGATTATTTCATTTGGACTACAGTTCTTTACTGAAATATTGAGTAAATGTAGAATTTTAAGTTGGTTTTATAATTTCTCATGTTCGTAAAAGCAGCTAAGGCCCGTTTCAGGATGAAGGAGAAGATGCTGGTAAAAAAGAGCCACTGTGTGATGAAGAGAGAACGGTTCAGAGGATCAAAGAGCCGTGGAAGAAGAGAATAACAGGAGGGAGCAGATAAGACCATAAAAACATAAATGATGGACAGAATCATGTGTAAAAGGGATGATGAAAGCAAAAAAAAGAGATGTGCAAAATGGTGAAGTGGGAAGGTGAAGAACTGAGAGAGGTAGAACATGTGCGAAACGGGAGATTGATTAATGGTCCTGGCCTGTGACAGTGGGATCTGCTTCCCCCGGGGGGCGGGAAAGCTGAGCAGAAGATGAATTATTAAAAACCGGAACAAGAAGAGGGAGGAGGAAAATGGGTCCAAAAAGGGAGATAGCACAAAGGCGTTTGTTGGGATGGAAGGAGGAAGGGAGACTTAAGGAGAAAAGAAAAAAATGTATGAGTGCAAGAAAACGAGACGTTGCTGAAGGTGCTAAGGTTGGACGTTGCACAAAGGGGAAACATAGCTGAGCTCATAAATAACCAAGGGTAATGAGACCAGAGCTTGCCCGTGGTGCAAACTCAGTGCTGTGATTAATCCTGACTTAGGGGTTATGCAGCAAATGCTGACCTTGGCAAAGGTGTCAAAATGCAAACAAGACAACAATGTAAACAGATTCTCTTCCCTCCAATTGATATTCCCTTAAGCATTTAATGAATGCTCATGTCCATCTGTGTCTTTCACCTGAATAGGGGCTCATTTTTGAAACCGTTGAGCTCGTTGCAGAGCTGCGTCCTGTACGTAATCTCAAACTGTAAACGTAACAGCGCWGTTCAGAGGTATTATCTTGATTCTGGCATCGAATGGAAATGCATTATTTAATACATTTTTAATGTGAAGTAGTTGTATTTTTTTAATAAAATATTTTAGAAATGTTTTTAAGCTTTTATTTTGTGTAATTCTTTTAGCAACATTAATTGTGTGAATGCTTGATAGGTGAGATTTTCCATTTTTCTTCCATACTTTTTTGGCACGTATCTCGTTCCGCAATTTTTYTGCTGTTTCAAAAATTTTCAACTCCTTCAGGACATTTCAGTTGTGACATTTGGTATTTCAGCAAATTATACTTTTTGAGATATTTAGCCTTTTCAAACATTTTTTACTAATTGAAAATGAAAGGAGCTCCATTCCTTTAAAATGTTTATAAACTTTTAATGCTTTTTACACCTTTTGTTCTGGTTCAGCTTTTTAAAAACATTTTTATGCTAATTTCAGCTTCCCTCAGCTATTTTCTGATCTTTTCAGCTATTCTGATTCTTTAAATTTTTTGTACTTCTATCAACTTCCTGCTGCTAATTGAAGCTTTTTATACCTTTTCCTTTTCAGCTGTTTTCTGCTTTTTAAGATACTTTTTAGCTACTTCAGATAATTTTAGCTGTTTTAAATTGAATTTACCTTTTTGAAATAATTCGAGCTTTTTGCTGCTTAATTCAGCAAACGTGTCCTTTCTGCTTCTTTGTGCTGGATTCAGCTTTTGTGGCCACTTTTTAAACTACCTTTCTGCAAATTTCAGCTTTTTGGCTGTTTAACAACAAATTGCTAAATTTTTGTCCACCTTTTTTTCTGCAAGTATCTTTCAGCATCAAGCATTCACGCTGCTTTGTTGCAGAAAATGCAAATTCTCCAGTTCTGGATAATTTGTTTTTTTTTTTCTTTGGTTTCTGTCCTCATGTAGACGTTTCACTTCTCAGCGGTGTAGAAGTTTGCCAAAACCCAGGCAAACTCAAGTCACCTCCTTTTAGCAGCAAGGTCATAAAGTTTTATGAGCAGCCAATAAACCATTTTGATGCTTTACCAGAAGCAACACACACACACACACACACACACACACACACACACACACACACACACACACACACA